TTCCTGTTTTTTAGTGATTAATGTCTTTAATTGTGGTGCAGGAAATGTCTTCTTTAGATGATGGACTGATCTAATTGTCATTTAAAAATTCATTAGCTGATCATGAAGTATTTTCCTACCTTTTTTTTTAATATTGGAATTTCCTCTAGCTATTGAATACATATTGTTCATGTTAAAGTTGGATTCTGCCTGATCTGCTTTTTTTAGAAACTCTATAATAATCCCAATTTACTTAACCTTTTATTCATATTCACAATTGTTACGATTACTTCTTTTCATACCTAGCTAATTTTATTGTCAGCTATCGACATAAATTTATCCAACCAATTTAGTTACTATGACCGTACTTTGATTGAATATATGCTACAATTTATGAGGTTATAATCACTAATGCACGATCCACATTTAAGCATTATACCACCTGCTTGTGCTTGTCATTGTATAGCACTGGAATAGCTTTTTTGTTAAATGTTTTGTTGTTTCATATCTTTAACTTGATTTATTAATTTTTGAGACAGTTTGGAATAAGGTCTGCTGTCCTAAATGCCGAACTGCCGCATAATTCTCGTTCTCACATACATTGTGCGATGAAAGTTATAGGTGTTTGGTCTGTAAATACGCAAGAGTTGTGTGGTATGTATGTAAATTTCCCTATTCCATATGTTAGATATATAAATACATAGGAATTGGGTGAATTAGGCGATACTTTTATGTTTCTTTTGTTCTAAAATTAATAGTTAACATCTTCTATTATATCCAAATAACTTTTGTTTATTTGTCAGCATTCATAACTTTATGTAGGTTATAAGAGAGAAAATAAGCCGAAGAATGAAAGTGCTTCAAGATCTTGTTCCAGATTTCAACAAGGTATAATAAAACCTTTTCAAAATTTAGTATTTTAACAAATATAATTTTGTTAGTGTTATACTAGTGTAGTAACTCAAATATATTTTGTTACATAACAGATAACTGGTAAAACACTCATGCTTGATGAGATAATAAATTATGTGCAGTCATTTCAACGTCAGGTTGAGGTAGACAATTTACGACAATATGTTGCATTCGATGTGATTTCTCTCTTGAATATTTGATGAATTTTGAATTTTCATTTTTTCTGGTTGGAAATCTGTGGGATGATGATCTTCATAGTATTGTTCAGATGAGCCCAGTGCGAAACCAAGATAGTGGATTTACCTCTCGAAACTTTCATGTTATAATGGACATAAATGAAAAAATATATATATATATATCTAATTTTTCATCCTTTTGTGTTCGGCTTCAGTTATAATTTAAGATATCTTTCTATGTATATATTGATATCTACTTGTGTCAATATGAGGATTAAATTAACAATTTTTAGTCGTTCCTGAAACTCTCTTATAGTCTTGTGCTCTATTTTTTTTTCTTGAAGTAACTTATTATATTTTTTAGGAAATTTATATTTCTAATTATTATGGCAATAGCTTTCTGTGATGCATTAGTGTCTGAGAACCACATGATTTAAATTTGACAATTCTAGATCAATTAGAGATTTTTTTAGGAAGATTTACATACATACCACTTAAATCTTATATATTTTATGCAGATGTATTTCAATTTTTAAAAGTTAAAATGGTGGCATTTTTTATGTGATATGAAAGGCTTCAGTGGTCTAAGTGTCAAAATTATGTAAAAACATAAGAATATTAAAGGTATGTATGTAAATTCCCTTTTTTTTATTACGGTCAAATTGAAAAATAGAAACAAAATTGAAAATTTTTGAAAATTTTCGAACATTTCGAACATTTGGAATATTTCGAACATTTCGAACATTTTGAACGATTCAAACTAATTCCGAACAAATCGAACCGAACACGAACAAATCTTTCACGAACAATTTCGAACACGAGCCTATTTCAAACAAATTATATTTCAAACGAACACGAGCACTGTTCGTTCGTGTTCGGTTCGTTTACACCCCTACATGCAGGTCTTTCTTGAAGGTTCTAGGTCGATTCAGGATATATACATAAATAGCACCGAATTCTTATATATTTACTTTACCACTCAAACCAATTACAGAACAACAAAAATGTCATCATTTAGACTTCTAAGAAAGAAAATATACATTTCTAAATGAAAATATAATAACTTTATGTAAAGATTGAAATATAAGTGTTAGATTTGCAAATACATAAAAATTAAGGGGTATGCTTGTAAATCTTTCTATTTTTTTAATGGTAAATTCTTTTAAATTATTATTTACATTAGCTTTTGCTAAAGATCATTTTTTTTGGAGAATTTTTTTTATGACATTATACCTCCATAAATTCATACATAAATTATAATGTTTTATATTTTCTTAATGGCGATTTAATGATAAATTTTATGCTGAAAGTTTTGAATGTGACATATGACAAGTTAAGATGTGTTTGATAATATTATGTGTTATTTACTGAGTCTGTTAGTGTTAGTAACTTCAATCAATGAAACCTTTAATTTTATATACCACGATGTTGGACGAGTTTGTAGAGGTTGTATTGGCTCAAACTAATGATGAAGATAAAGAAAATGTACTGTATTATCTTATTCGGTATTTATCCCAACTGAAATGAAAATATCCGATAATTAAAAATTTTTGCTTGGTGTTCATATTTGTGGTTAAGAAATAAAGACAATATATGTTGTCTATTTGCAAAAACTTGATTTCAGTATATATTCCTTGTAATATTTGATAATTTGTCATGTTTTAGTTGGATGTCTAACAAATTGGGTTAAGATAATGTTATGATTTGATATTTGCATCATTGCATGTATCTCCCAATTGGCGTTAAAGGATAAATTTTAGTTGATTTCTTGGCAACTCATTCAATCTCAACTGATTCATCTCTTCGTGATGATTGTGTGGATAACTCATAAACCCTAAACTCATACTGGCAATTGATAAAGTAAAATGGGAATTATATTTTGATGGGGGCATCAATTAAGTCAATTCATAGCGTAAAAGGCAATATTGGTATCATTTTTGTGACCTTTGAATGCAATATTCTTTGTTATTATTTATTAATATAACTTGAATGTTTGTGAATGTGCAAATTGTGATGAAAGCGAACTAGTTTCTTTAGGGATCATATTTGTGATAATAGGTTAGTATAATTTATTGATCTCCTGTGTGTGTGTGTGTGTGTGTGTGTGTGAGTGTGTGCATATACATAGAGATATTAGTCCTGGGCATTGGGCAGGACTTGGCACGGTTTGGGGCTTTTTCGGACTTTGACCAGTCAAAGCAAGCTCTGGCTGGACTTTAGCCCGATTTTTGTTTAGCATTTCTTAGTGAGGCCTGCACACTGAATGGGTCTGGCTAGCCTGCGGGCCTTAACAAAAAAAAAAGATTTGAATGAACAAAAAAATATTTCATATGAAAATACACGCTAAAAATTTTATATCTAAACTTCACAAATCTTACGGGACTTTCACTTCCAATTCTAAAGATTTTCCAAAATGAAAAAATATTAAGGTTTTAATTATATAAATACGTAGGAATAAATAGAATGCGAGTAAAAATTTAAAGTTTAGATGTTACGCAGTGAATAAAAAAAATTGAATGACATACGTGTGAATCTGAAGTTCAGGTGATTCAATGGTGTATATATGTCTGTGTGTGTGTGTGTGTGTGTGTGTGTGTGTGTGTGTGTGTGTGTGTGTGTGTGTGTTTAGATATGAAGATTAGGTATTAAATATGTAGATGAGTAAGAATTGAATGTTGGGTATGTAGATATAAAGATTAGGTGTTAAATATGTGAATGCATAAGAATCAAATAGTATGTTCGTAGATATTTAAAGTTTAGATTTCACACATATAAATATATAAGAATCAGATGTGAGCATGTTTCGTTTATGAATAATATCATAGTCTTTAAGACGGCTATGCATCCTTCAAAAATTGTCGTTTTACATTAACAGTCAAAATTTAATTTTAAAAGCAGCCCAAAACACACCCTTAATCTTTCATATGACATAAAAAGAATCACTGTTACTAATTTATTAAAAAATGAAATACACATTTTCAAACACAAGTAAGGTGACATAAGGTTGATGTCAAAGTTTAGGTGTTACATAAGTAAATAAATTCGAATTGGGTGGAATGTATGTAAATTTTCCTAAATAGAAAGCATCTTAAATACAAATTTTAAAACATAAAAATAAACTAGATCTATGGGTGAAGTAACAATTAGTTCCAAAGTTGTGAAAATCAGATCAAACATCAAGCCGGCAGAAGAAAAGTTCAGCGTTCATTGATTTGACCGGGATTAAAACACACAATATAATAAATATAAACATTAATTAAATATGATCTAAATATTACTACAACAATATAAAAATAAATAAATAAATAAATAAAATGCTTTTTTAGTACGCCTATAAGAGCGCTATCAAGCTCTCTTCCATAAGAGCAATGTCTTTTTCCCAAAAAAATTCTTAATATTCCAAAAAGAATAAACTTGCATGATGTCATTGTAACGCTTTCTTTCGCTCTCTATTTCTCTATATAAATATGAAAACGGCTAGATATTTAATAAATTAATAGGATTTAGAATTAGGATCAAGTTATTTTTTGAATAGCGAAAATGACCGGTGGCCATGAGTTATCACTAATTTTAGAATGACAGCTCCGCCACAAAAATGAACAATTATGTGTTTCGGACCAGACCAAAGACTAGTTTATGATTGAACCGATCGATCCGATCTAATTTTCTAAACCTAAGTTAAGTTGAACAAAACATAACTTGGCGTGAAAGAAACAAGCATGGGGCCTCTGTAGTCTCCCACACTCAACGCTTTATTGTCTTACATACGCACAAGAATGCTAGAAATCCTTCAAAGGAATCTATTCAAATAAGCAAATAAAAAAACTGAGACTTTCGTGCCGGAAAGTCAGCAAAATGAGAATGTGGACTATAAATTCATCTGTCGCAGACAGCATCAGAAAAATCTCTTATCATTATTCCGCAGCGCACGTCAACATCAGTCACAGTCGGAATTTGGATGTATACTGAAAGTAAGCGCTGCAATTAGCAGTTAAAATACGTAAAATACATACAGAGGTACTTTCCTAAAAGAGTCTCAATCACAACTCCCTTTCAATCTGGATTACATACAAACTTAAAACAGAAGCCAAAAAATGAAACCTTTATATAAGCAAATGGCCGGTTCAGAAGAGTTGAAGGGAGGCAGCCATGAACCTAACCTTGGTTCTCTGCCTTCTTATTTGCCTCTTGGAGAGCGCTGCTGCCCTCTCAAGGGCTGATTTTCCCGATGGTTTTACATTTGGGACGGCTTCATCAGCTTTTCAGGTGTGAATGCTGCTGCTATATATATTTGTCTTTTTTATTTTTCGATTTTATTTTTCTTAGAAGAAGCTCTGGCTCTGGTTCTTGTTTGAAGGAGCTGTGAATGAGGGGAACAAGGGAGATAGCATATGGGATACACTTACAAGAAGACCAGGTAAGAAATTCACTTTAAATTTCAAGAGATATTGGTTTGGGCAACACGTAGAAACGGACATTTGTGTAAAAAACAGGAAGGATTTTAGACTTCAGCAACGCAAAGACGGCAGTTGATCAGTACCACAGATTTAAGGCAAGTCAATCAATATTTGTTTCTTTAAAAGTCTTAACTATAGCTTGTCTTCATTTCTCATCAAAGCTCATGAAGTTTATCCCGTGAATCCTAATCACAATTAATTGAAGGGTGTCACAACATGAATTTTGCAGACTGATGTGGACTTGATGAAGAATATGGGAATGGATGCATACAGATTCTCCATCTCATGGTCAAGGATATTCCCAAGTAATAATTGTATTATATTATATCATACATATATATCTATATCACGCATAAGGTTTAAAAAATCGGACCGAATTAGCGTCAAACCATCAAGAACTGGTCGATTCAAATTGTGGAACTGGTTCATTTTATATTTTATTTTCTTATCATTTAAAAATTAGTTGTCTCAATTCAAAAAGCAACCTCCAAGTCAACACGATTAGGAATAAGATGCTCTGGATTCCATTCCTATTTTTTTATTAAATATATTTATTGTAATTTATTAAATATCTAGCCTCTTTATATATGTAGAGAGAAAGATTGGGACGGGATAGGGGATAGAGGAGAAGGAAGAGGAGGAGGAGGAGTTTCACTGACATCTTTTTATGGAATGTAAAATAAAAAAAAATTCCGAATAGGACAAGCAGCTGTTATGAAAGAGAGTTTGATGGCTTTTATTATTGGTGTGCCGAAAAACATTTTATTTATCTATTTATTTTATATTATATATTTATATTATTATTGTAATATTTAAAACAAATTTTTAATTAGTTTTTATATTTACTATATCATCGAGTCCATTTGCAACTTTGAATATACATTTAAAACATTTCTAATGATTTGATGTTCGGTCCTACTTTTTACAACTTTGGAGCACTTTTTATGTGGAGCACTTTTTCTCTCCGGACTCTTGACGTAGCTCTACGTGCGGCGTAGGATATTCTTGAGTTATTTTCAAATTATTTCTGGGTTATTTTAAATAATCCTGAAATAAACCAGAAATCTCGCGGTCATTTTTTTTTTTGTTATTTTGGTATTATTGAAAATAACTCAGAAATAACATGAAAATAACTCAGAAATAACTTCCGCCGCACGTAAAGCTACGCTAGGAGTCCGGACAGAAAAATTTTTGTGTTCGGTGGGCCTGACATGTTCACCATGACAGATGGAACCGGAGATATCAATCCAGAAGGAGTGGCATATTACAACAACCTAATAGATGCTTTACTTGAAAAAGGTCTACAAGGAAACTGTACCATCATTTTCTATTATACTTCTCTTGTCAATATAAGAATACACAGATGATAGAAATTAGAAGATAAAAAATAAACACACACACATATACATATATATGTATATACGTATATCTACATGTACATATATACATATATATGTATATCTACATGTACATGTATACAGATATACGTATATCTACATGTACATATATACATATATATGTATATCTACATGTACATGTATACAGATATACGTATATCTACATGTACATATATATATGTATGTATGTACATGTATGTTTTATATTTATATATATAGCGATCAACCATAATATTTAATATTTTTCTTCTAATTAATAAGGTCATCTCTGTCTCTCCAATAAAAATATCTGGAGATCATGATACACTTTTTCCCTTTTAAGATCTCTATAGTTAATGCAACCTATAAAATCATAAAAAAATTCTCCTTTCTACAGGAATACAACCATTTGCGACCCTCTATCACTGGGATCTTCCACAAGCTCTGGAAAACAAATATCATGGCTGGTTAAACGCTCAGATAATGTATAATAAACAAACAAAAATTACAAATTTGGCACATTAACAGAGTATAAACAATCAAAGCTCACGAAAACCTTCTTGATGATATAATTATGATGCAGAAAAGACTATGAGAATTTTGCTTACACCTGCTTCAAAGCTTTCGGCGATAGAGTAAAGCACTGGATTACCTTTAATGAACCCCATGGGTTCTCAATTCAAGGTTATGACCTGGGCATACAAGCTCCGGGGAGATGTTCTCTGTTACATCACTTTATGTGCAGTAAGGGAGATTCATTAACTGAACCTTATGTTGTTGCTCACAATATCCTTTTGTCCCATGCTGCTGCTTATCATGCTTACAAGCTTCATTTTAAGGTATATATTCGCTCCAAGATTCCTTTAACCAGATATTAAGCATCTTTTTGAACTGAAAAAGGAAATATTCTCCATTCTTTCCTTGTTTATTTGATTAAAATTCAAGTTTTTTTTTTCCGTTTTTCACTAAGATTGCGTTGAATGAGAAATTTTAATTTTAAACTTAATATAAATCAAACAGATACTGAGGGAACTATAGGCAATAGAAATGAAAAATTGAACTGTAATTCTGCAGGAGAAGCAGGGTGGAGTTGTGGGAATTGCTCTTGATTCCAGATGGTATGAGCCAATATCTGAGGCTGATGAAGACATTGAAGCTGCTCGCAGGGCAATGGACTTTGAACTAGGATGGTAAATTTTGCATTTTAATATTAAATAAACTACTTGACAACAAAATGACTTCATTTGCTGAGAAAAATAATTACAATAATTGTTACAGGTTCTTAGATCCCTTAATATATGGGCGCTATCCTTATTCAATGCAGAAACTTGTCGGAACCAGATTACCTAAATTTACAACCGAAATGTCCAATTTACTAACTGGTAGCTTAGATTTTTTGGGAGTGAATCATTACACATCTTCATATGTTCAGAATGATCGCAGCAAAGTAAGAAAATTTTTACTGAAGGATGCTTCTGCTGATGCTGGTGTGATAAGAACATGTAAGATTATAATAAAAAATAGTTTTATTTTATTTTCTCTTTTTTTAATTGCTTGCTAAGTAGTATCTGCTCAACAGCATTCAGGCATGGAGAAGCCATAGGTGAAAGGGTAAGTACTCTGTCTCGAAAGCTAGAATATGTTTTTGCTTGCTTAATTAACATTAATTAGATTTTTGTGTGTGTGTGTTATATCAGGCTGCATCAAGTTGGTTGTATATAGTCCCTTGGGGTATCCGCAAGTTGATGAATTATATTAAGGAAAATTACAGGAATACAACAATTTTCATTACAGAAAATGGTATAAAGTTAAAATTTACATTTTTGGGATGATATATTAGACAGAAAATTTATAAAAAATATTTTTTGGTGCAGGGGTGGACGAAATAAACAGTCCATTTATTAGCTTGGAGAAGGCGTTGCAGGATGATAGAAGGATAAGTTATCATGAGAACTATCTTTCAAATCTAAGTGCTGCAATAAGGTTAGCTCTGAAAGTTAAATTGACTCCATGTTAATAAGAAAATTTTTTTAGATAAATCATTTCATTTAAATAAGAAAAATTTAACATGCAGGGATGACGGCTGTGATGTACGCGGTTACTTCGTGTGGTCATTACTAGATAACTGGGAGTGGAACTCAGGCTACACAGTTAGATTTGGACTGTACTATGTAGACTACAACAATAATCTTACAAGAATACCAAAAGCCTCGGTGCAGTGGTTTAGAAATGGTTTACAAAGAAATAATATTTCTAGCTTATAAGTTACAGGTCAAACAAATTAATTACAGCTTGTAATACTAAAGAAATTTTTTATTTATTTTATAAAATTTACCACCATCTTATGCCCATACCAGAAGAAGATTGTAATCTTAATAACCTATGAAGCTAATAAAAATTCAAAAAAATGACAAGAGCAAGGCACAAAATATTGCTCTGAAAATTTTAGTTGTGATTTATGTTTTCCATTTCTGACACTCCTAATCAGTGAGTTATAAATGATATAATCGTCACTTATTAATTTATGACGATCGACTGTATTAAAGTCGTAGTTAAAATTCTTGTTGGTAAATTTTAAACCGACGGGACTTCTGACGGCTTTGTTTTATCGACGTTTTTCTGACTCATTGATCATCATCTTTGAATAACTCACAAAGCATAAGGAAACTGTCAATTGTTGTCAGTTTCTGATAGCCGATGAAATACCGTCGGGAAATTAGAGCCCCATTAACCATTGGAAAAGTGTTGCAGCCGCAGTTTTTATGACACAGGTGATGCTTAAGCTAGGTGTCGAGAGTGTGTCGGTATTTTAACCGACGAGGAAGCCATCGATTAGCCAACAGTTTTTATCGAAGCAATATCTGTTGAATAATTGTCGGTAATGCAATGCTAATTTAACCGATGGTTTATGTCGCCGCTTATGGGGACGATCAATGAAGTAATCATCATAAAATCAATGTTAAGTAGATGGAAACCTATAACTTAAGAAAATAATAATAAATAAATAAATTTTCTCTTTGGTATTTACGATTTCAACACCTGCAATCACAAAAAAACTTAACCAATCCAAGCATTTTATAAATTACAATCTCATTTGAATAAAAAGTTATCTAATTGAACAGCTAAATAAATGAAATTCATTGAATTTAGCAAATAAACATCATTGTTCAATAAGAAAATATCTGCTGAAATGTTTAGCAAAATCATATAAAATAAAATGAAAAAAATCCCTACTAATCATCCTCTGCCTCATCATCATCATCATCATCATTCTCCTCCAATAGTGGCTTCCTCTGTTGCTTTGCCCACTGCTAGAACGAATCTAACTCGGCCTTCAACTAGGCCTCCAAACTAGCCTTCAGCTCCGACCTCATTTCATTGAAGTGGGCATCCACCTCGATAGTGAATGCAACGACACGCCTGGAGACATCCTCCTCCTATGTCGTAGAAGTAGTACTGCAGATGCATTGGTGGAGGAATGATCTGTAGGTGAATGCGTAAGACTCGAGCCCGTAGACTCGGCCCTTCTTCTTCCCTCCGGCAACCTTCCTCCATAGATTTTACTCTGACGAATCACGGTCTCATATCATAATACCATCGGAAGCCTGAAATCAGCTCTCCTTCTGCTGCTAGAATCTATTTTGCAAAAAAAAAGTTGTTTCTGTTGTTGTTGCGAGATCTATATATAAGATATACCAGTTGATGTGGTATATATATAAATCAAATAGGAGAACGATCGACGAAGTGAAAAATAGAACGAGAACGAGAAAAATCACACAGAATAACACAGCGGAACACACAGATTTACGTGGTTCGACAAATTGTGGTTCGACAAATTGTTTACGTGACAAATTGTTTACGTCCACGGAGTTGCAAAGGATTTTACTATTTGAGGAATTTACACCAGTCAATCACCTTACAAGAGGAATCTCTCACTCTTCGTTGCTGTCTATGTTCTTCTCTCTCTATACCGAGATACACCGAAGAAAATTCTATACAAAGATACACCGAAGAAGATAAACTTACAAGAGAAATAAACTCAATTTCTCTTCTGCCACAAGCTACAAAGAAGAATCCTAGGGAGAACAATCTTCTTCTTCTTCCTTCTTCTTCCTTCTGCTGTAGTGAACTGCTCCTTCTTGCACTTCTCTTCCTCTGCCCCGAGGAAACCTTCCTCTATCCTGAGGAAACCGAAGAAGAACTCAAAGCGTGACTTATAAACCCAAGGAGAGCCAGCCGAAGCTTTTATCACGAAAAAGAGGGAGCGAAGGGATGCTTCACTTCACAAAAGAAGAAGGCGGGAGTGGTTATTTGTGAAGAGGTGTGACTCTTTACAGAAAAGTAACCGCCCAAGCAGAGTGGACCAGGCTCCACCGTTTCTAACAATTCTCCCACTTGGAGACTTGTCCACAGACTACAACATCTCCTTCCTAAAATTGATATCCCTAACTGGTGATGTCTCCTTTTTCTTCAACATGTATCCTCCACCTTGAATCCTCAACCTCTGCAACTCAAAACCTCTGTCTTCACTCCAGAAAACCAATTGAAGCTGTGCACAACTTTAGTTTCTCAAGAGTAACACCCTCAATTAACATATCAGCAGACTCCACATAGCTTTGCACCTTCAAGCTATTTTCTGGGTCACTCTCGTCTCTTCTTACAACTCACACTGCATGTACAACTCTACAACTCTCACTGCATGGGCAACATCCTGCCTCTACTGAAAGCCTTTTTCAATAAGTTTAGTCTTGTACCTCTTACTGACATCACACTCAGTCTTCACCTGGTACACACACTTGTTGTGCAATGGCTTCTTCCTTGGTGGAAGTTCTGCTAGCTCCCACTTGCTCGAACATTCATCTTGCAAGATTTCTTCATAGCTCTGTGGTTATGTTTGTAGAATAATAGGAATGGGTGCTCCGGACCCACTTTCCTCTTTACTTCCATCACTGCCATGCACTGTGGCCTCTGGTAGATTTCCTACCACATTCAAAGCCTCTGAATCTAATATCAAGTCTTCAATAGAACTATGGACTGCCAACAATAGTGAATCTTGTGATTCTTCAGATACCACATTTGCGCTATCATTCTCCATCTTCTTAGGATTCCTGTAGTTCTTATTTATGTGGCCAGCCTTGCCACTATTTCAATAGGTTGTCTGCTTACTAAAATTTGATTTTCATCTCCCTATACTTGAGTTCTTGTCATGTCATCTCCCTTTGAAATCAACATTCAGTGTCGAACTCGAACCTGAGACCTCGCTAGAATCATTCCTGCAAACTTTCTCAGCTAAAATCAAATCACGAATATCATCGTATTTCAGTTTAGATTTACCTGCAGAACTGGTAACTGCTATCCTCATAGCTTCCCAACTATCTGACAATGAAGCAAATAAGATCAGTGCACATATCTTATCATCAAAATCAATTTCCACAGACGACAATTGATTTGTGATAGTATTGAAATCATTCAGGTGTTGAGCAACGGAAACACCTTCCGTCATCTTCAAATTGAATAACTTATTCATCAAGTGTACTTTGTTATTCACCGATAGCTTTTCATACATACCTGATAGGGCTTTCATGAGACTAGCAGTCGTCCTTTCCTTGACGATGATGTGTGCAACAAACCTCGATATGGTCAATCAAATAACTCCCATAACTTGTCAATCCAACAAAATCCATTCAGCCTAATCCATCCTTTCAGGTCTTTTCCCCAATAACGGAAGATGAAGTTTCTTCCTATAAAGATAATCTTCTATCAACATTCTCCAATAACTAAAATCTGTGCCATCAAATTTCTCTATCCCTGAAACTTTCACTTCATCTGCAATCATCATTCTTCCTCAGATCCAAACAAAACTCTGATACTAATTATTGTTGTTGCGAGATCTAGATACACCAGTTGATGTGGTATATATATAAATAAAATAGGAGAATGATCGACGAAGTGAAAAATAGAACGAGAAAAATCACACCATAGAAGAACAGCACAGCGGAACACACAAATTTACGGGGTTTGACAAATTGTCTACGTCCACAGAGTTGCAGAGGATTTTACTACTTGAGGAATTTACACCAGTTTATCACCTCGACTTACAAGAGGAATCTCTCAGTCTTCTTTGCTCTCTCTCTTCTCCTCTCTCTGTTCTTCTCTCTCTATACCAAGATACACCGAAGAAAACTATACACCGAGATACACCAAAGAAGACAAACTCACAAAAGAAATATACTCAATTTATTTTCTGCCACAAGCCACCAAGAAGAAGCCTATGGAGAAAAATCTTCTTCTTCTTCCTTCTGCAGCAAGGAACTGCTCCTCCTTGCACTTCTCTTCCTCTGCCAAGAGGAAACCTTCCTCTATCCTGAGAAAACTGAAGAAGAACTCAAAGTGTGACTTATAAACCCAAGGAGAGCCATCCGAAGCTTTTATCACGAACATGAGGGAGCGAAGAGATGCTTCACTTCACAAAAGGGGAAGGTGGGCATGGTTATTTGTGAAGAGGTGTGACTCTTCTAAGCAAAGTAACCGCCCAAGCAGAGTGGACCGGGCTCCACCGTTTCTAACAATTTCGTATAGTTAGAGCTAGTGTGAATAGACATCAAACTACTTTAGCTTATGAATTACCAAGTAGCAAGGGATCTTCCATTGATCCACGACTTGTCTGACTGCCTCCTATGTGTGCACTTGTGTACATCAGTAGTGGAGAGCTCTCGTTTCTTTGCACATCTTATCAATATAATGAAATAGTTAGAATATTTATTTGATTTATAATAAAATTTTAAGCAGAAATAAAGCATTAATAGCCTTTGCTTGTATTTTGTATGTGGGAGCGCCCCATGAGAGTGCTTGCAGGCTTCCATACCTTCGTCGTTTGAGCGTCTATTTTGATTCACTGCACCTTCTTCTTTTGGTATTCTAAAGAATCCAAAGCCTTGGGCAGTGAGGCAAAAACATCAACTTTGAGCCATAAAAGACACTGCCCCAATTTCTGAATATTGTCAAACGTGTCCCGTAAGCGGTCGCTGCCCTTTCGCTTGAAGTTGCGCTGGATGTGTGCTTCACGCTCAAAACGCTAGGAGAATTATTTCTGCAAAATTAAATGAATTATGTTAGATTGAAAAATATATACACACAACTTAAGGTTATTGTGATAGTTATCAACCACAAACCCCTGGAACCAAAGATTCCAAATTGTCATCGGGTTCTCCTTCTAGGACAAGAACACTGAGTCGTACCTGCTTCGGGTGATATCCCTAATGGCGTGAATAAACTGTGTTGAGGGGTAGAACTTGAAAAAGAATAAATGGTTAGTGTTTTATTTAATTAAAAAAAAATAAAAGGATTACTATCAGTATCTTATAAAAACTTATGTGTTCCTGACAAGCTTAACGTGTTAGTTGTTGCCCGTCGAC